TCTCTCTCAAAATAAATAAACTTAAAAAACAACAACAACAACAAAAAACAAAACCTCCTTGTCCTATTAAAAAAGAAAAAAGAAAGAAAGAAAAGAAAAAGAAATTCCTGCTGAGCTATTAGAGGTAGAATGTTAAGATATCTACAATTTACTTTCCAATGGTTCAGCAAAAGAAAAAATATACATATGCATATATACATATGTAGATAAAGGAAACAAAATATTAACAATTAAATCTAGACGGGAGGCTATACAGGCACTGAGAATACATCCCACCCCCCATCTTTTCTATATGCTTACCATTTTTCATAATAAAAGGAGGGTAAAATGCTAATTAGAAGCAGGCCCCTGCTAGGCAAGTTCACATAATTTCTCCCATAACCTATCTTTATGGCCTAAGGAAACAGGAGGCTCCGAGTCTCCATGTGGCTTGCTCCAGATCGCATGCTGGAGAGCTCACAGAAATCGCAAGAGCTTGATTAACCCGTATTTATTGAACACCTACTATATTCTGGGCACTGTTACAGTCAATAAGGATCCAGCAAGGATACGTGAGGATAAGCCTCACAGGGTCTCTCTTTTCATGGCTCAGGGGAGGAGGTAAACAAAGAAAAGAAATATGAAAACAAAAACATTCATTGATTCACAAACATTCATGGATTGAACACCTTCCGTGTGCCAGGTACCGTGGATGATACCGCACTGATACGGCAGTAAAACTATAAAGACAAAAACCCCTGACATGAGGAGGTGGACAATACACTTAATACAATAAAGAAATTGCTTAGTATCTTAGAAGGTGAAGTGAAAAGGAAAAGAATAAAACAGAGCAGGGGGAGAATAGTGAAAGGGTGCGTGGTGCGTGGTGTAGATAGGATGCTGGCTGGTGCTGGTAGGAAGTTCCTTGAAGAGGTGACGTTGAGTAGACCCAATGAAACGAGAGAGGTACTAAAGCTCTGGAACAAGAGTGTTCTGGCCAGAGGGAAGGGCCAGTGCAAAGGCCCCGAGGAGGGAGTTTGCCAGGCAGCAAGGCCAGTGTAGCCGGACTGTGTTGCCTGGGAGGTCGGAGAAGCTTTCAGGCGGTTTAGAGCCCTCTATGGAACACTGTGTTTTATTCTGAGACCCTAGAAGATGAATACATGAGGAAGATAATTTCGGCCCATGTTCAGTGCCTTGAGGAAAACAAAACAGGACGGTATATAATAGGGAGGCCTGTGGCGGGATGGTCCAGGAGAGCCTCCCTGAGGAGGTGACCCTGGAGCTGAGACCAGAGAGTGCAGAAGGAGCCAGGAATTCAAAGGGCTGGGGGAAGGGAGAGGGAGAGAGGTCAGGCCTCGGCAAATGAAACCAGAAGCAGGCCGCCCGCCCGGCAGGCCTGGGGAGGAGGCTCCGCCCGCGGCGGGGGGAGGGGGAAGCGGGTCGGGGAGCGCCCCGCCCCCAGCCGGCCGCCCCATCCCGCCCCACCCGGCCTCTGGGGAGGGAGCAGGCGCCGGGCCGGCTCCCGCCGCAGCCGCAGCCGCTACCTCCGAAGTGTTCCACCGCCCGGCCAGCTGGGGATGGGTAGTGGGCAGGTGGGAGGGGCCTGTCCCATCGGCCACGCCCCGAGGCGGCCGCGCCCCCTCCCCCCCACCGCGGGCCGGAAGAGCGCAGTTTGGGGAAGGTGGACTCTGTCTTCAGATACCCGGTCCCTCTGCGGGCCAGCCTTTCTACTTCTCTCATCAGCCTCTTTAACGGGGTGCGGGGGATACCGGGCCTCTCTGAGCCTCAGTTTGTCCATCTGGAAAGTGGGGATGCTCCTTATAGTGGCCTCACTGTGGTACTAGAAAGCTACTTGATTCCTTTTCACTCGATTATCTTTAGGGCAAGGAGGACCTGTTAAAAGGTGAGTCAGGTCTCATCCCTCTTCTGCTCAACAGCCTCCCATGGCTTCCATCTCACTCGGTAGAATTCAGTCCCTCAAGACCGTACGTCTCTTTCAGCTCATCTCCTAGGATGCTCTTTTCTTGCACACTGTTCCAGCCACACTGACCTCTTCAGGTCCCTCAAACGCTCCACTCAGGCTCCCACCTCAGGGCCTTCGCACCGGCTGTTACCTCTGTCTGCATCGACATCCGACATCCGTTCCCCCTCAGATTGGCATGACTCACTTCTCACCTCCCTCAGGTCTTGACTCAAATGTCACCTTGTCGGTGAGGCCTTCTCTGGCCATCCCATTGAAATAGTTAACACCCCCATGGCTCTCCTTTCTTTTTCTCTATAGCATTTGTCACCACCCGACAGACTCTCCGTTTTAGTTATTTGTGTGGGTATTGCAGCCTTCCCCAACTGCCATGCTGTATGAGGGCAGGAGTTTTTGTCTGTTTTATTCATATGCCTGGAAGAGCACCAGGCCCACGGTAGACAATAAATTTGAGCGATTACTGGAATCCTTGGCATGCATCAGGCCCTCCTTTCCAGTTTGCACAATCGCTCAGGGAGGCAGGTATGAATCCAGTCTTAAGGTTGGGACATGCTGGCTTGTTTGAAGAACTGTAGAGATTGGTATAGCTGGAGCATAGTAGTGGGGAGACTGTGAGGAAGGTGAATTCAGAGAGGTAAGAGGGAGGGTTGACCGTTGCAAGGTCGGTTCATTTTTTCAACAATAGCCCACAAAGGGGCGCCTGGGTGGGTCAGTCAGTTAAAGCGTCCGACTTAGGCTCAGGCCATGATTTTTCAGTTCGTGAGTTCGAGCTCCACGGCAGGCTCTGTGCTGACAGCTCAGAGCCTGAAGCCTGCTTCTGATACTGTGTTCCCCGTCTCTCTCTGCCCCTTCCCCACTCATGCTCAGTCTCTCTCTCTCTCTCAAAAATAAATAAAGATTAAAAAAATTTTTTTTTAATAGCCAAAAAAAAAAATTGTTTTTGAGTGCACACCTGTACTGAGCATAGTTTTGTACACTAGGGCACACAGCTGGGCTAAGACCACCAAAACCCCTCCCTCTCAGAGTTTTTATAGACCAGGAGGCTAACCATAAACAGGTGATAAATAACTTGAGATAGGATAGATGCTACCAAGAAAATCAAACAGTGGGGTGAATGTTTGGTGCAGCGAGACACGTTGAGCTAGGAAGGGCAGAGAAGACCTCTCTGAGAAAGGGACATTTATGTTGGTGAAACTAGAGGGGACATATCCTCTGGGCCATTAATAAGTGCAAAGGCCCTGGGGTGGTTATGAGCATGGAGTCAAATGAGACCAGGGTGACTGGTGGTGCGGAAGAGTGGGAGATTCAAATGGGGAAGTTAGGAGCAAGATTGACGTCTTTTTTTTTTTTTTTTTTTTTTTTTTAATGTTTATTCATTTATTTTGAGAGAGAGAAAGGGAGAGAGAATGAATCCCAAGTAGGGATTCATTGCTGTCAGCACAGAGCCCAATGTGGGGCTCGATCTCACAAACTCTGAGATCAATGACCTGAGCCAAAATCAAGAGTTGGCTGCTTAACCAAATGAGCCACCCAGGTGCCCCAAGATTGCTGCATTGCAGGCCTTGAAGTTGAGGTTTTATTCTGAGTGTGAGAAGTCACTGAGAGTTTTAAGTAGGAGTAAGACATGGGCATCCACGAGATGTGAAACGCATGTGCCTTGAGGCTCTCATGACCATTTCTTCTCTCTCTCTCCATTGGCACCTGTCAGTTACCCCAATGCTTTCAGACTTAGATGCAAAGCCCCTCTTAAGCTGAGAACCTTGGCTTTGGGCCAGAAAGCACAAGCAAAATCCCCCTCCTTTCCCTGCCTGTGGACTCCACCGGTGTAGTTCCTCTTTGCAAACCTTCTAGAAGAGTCCCTATTGCTGTATAAACTCATCTGCTGCATTGTCTTCAAAGGTCTTTGCAAGAGGCTTAACCAGTGCTAAGCATTGCATCTTCCTGCCCCCCCTCTCTTTTCTCCTCTCACAGGCCTGGGCTTGTACCTCCCAAATAAATCCTTAGCACTTTAAATGTTTATTTTTGAGAGAGAGAGAAGCAGGGAGGGGAGACACGCAAGCCAAAGCAGGCTCCAGGCTGAGCTGTCAGCACAGAGCCCGAAGTAGGGCTCAAAACCCATGAACCACGGGATCATGACTTGAGCCAAAGGTGGACACCTAACCCACTGAGCCACCCAAAAGCCCCAAATCCTTAGCGCTTTAACTTCAACCTGGTCTCTACTTCCTAGCCAAGTTTTCTAGAGAGAGCTTCCCCCCCCCCCCCGTTTGAGAGAGAACACCAGTGGGGTAGGGGCAGAGAGGGAGAGAGAACTCCAAGCAGGCTCCCCTCTGTCAGTGCAGGGACCAACTGACCCACAGCTCAAACTCACAACTGTGTGAGATCATGACCTGAGCTGAGATCAAGAGTCAGACACTTAACCCACTGAGCCACCCAGGCACCCCTAGAAAGATCTACTCTTAATGCAGACTATCTTTAGGCATTTTCTTTCCCCCTCTGGGTCCCAGCAACACATTGCATGCGATGAAAAAAATGACTTTTAGATGCTAGAGTCACCTATCCTTTGACAGTTTGGTAATTCATGGGACTTAGTTTCTCCTTCCTTTGTGCACCCACGTGGCTGGGGAGTCTTAAGTCTACCAAGGAGCAACAAACACAATAGTTGAAAACCAATCCCTGGAGGCAAACTGAGTTTGAGTCCTAGCTCCCTGGTCCTTGCTTTCCTTGCTGTGTGACCTAGGGCAAGTGATTTGGCCTCTCTGAACTTGAGGGTCCTCCTATGTAAAACCTGTTAACAGAATTCTGTATTATCATGAAGATTAAATGACCTAATCCAAACAAAGTGGATACAACAGTACTCTTAACAAGTACTCTATATATATTATGTTTAATAATATGCCTGCCCCAACTTTGGTGGGGTG